TTTCCTGTCTCCGAAAACTTCAAAGTGTGTTGGTCAGGGACATCCTGTTGTAGGATCAATCCATCAACCAAGTCCCATAGTTGCAGGTACTCTACTAACACTTGTACAAAGAGGCTTCCAATAATGTCACAAATCCATCTTCTCTTTGCTAGAGCGAATTCCATCCTTGAACTTCCTTTCTTCCAATTTTTTCGGGGAATACAAAAAATACTTGCATATCATTGCATTAAGAGACAAATCTTTCACTTTTCACCCTTCAGCTATCAAAGCCATTTGTATTCAACAATACAATGGTTCTTGAATGGTTTTAACATACAGGCAGCCATGTGAACGGTTCTAGTTTAGGTGGAACTTAATTTGTCCATATAATTTTTAAAACTATTTAATGAATTAAATATTTATACATTCCATAATATCGAAATATACGCCCCAATCATTTTGAAAGGAATAAAATTTTCTAGGATGAGTAGACGTTGATGCTGTTAATTGTAATCGGAAAAGGACTAGTTCACAAGTTTGACCATCCATGAAAGACTGAAAATCAATCCTAAACATAAAATCTATACAACATTCAAGAACGAACTACTCAAAACCCTGCACTTTCAAGCAGCTCTATTATAAAATGTGTATGTACTAGCTTACACAAAACTGAAACAGACTACGCCATATAAGGTTGAGTCACATGAATTTAGTATTATTAATACAATTCTCAGAGGAGGCATGTAATAAACAAAATGTAGTTTTCAGTACGACACTTATTTAAGAACAACCAGTTATTCAAAGTGCTTTATTATAGGAAATGGTGATGATATTTGGAGGAAGCAAAATCTTATGTAAATAAACCTTGGCACAATTGTTCCGAGCATTTTTCCAGTTAATCTCATTATATGGTACACTGTAGAGCTCCTCTCTTATTTCCAATATCGTTGGTGTAATTGCCCCAACAAACTTCTTACCATAAAGATAAGCCATTGGCATATAAACCAAACGACAGAAGCACCAGAATCGCCCTGTGGAAAAGAATGTTTACATCAGTAAGAAAAATTATTGCAACGACAGTCTTATATAATATGCTGTTGAAGAAGCCATAGTTCAGGAATGATGGAAAAGCACCAACATGTCCCTTGAGAAAAACGAAATGTACCTGGGTGAATTGGAAGAAAATGTGGTACAAGCCACAATTCAGGAATGATGGCATTATTTCCAGACCAATCATACAAACCAATCACCTTCAGAATATATGAATAGCTTGCATTAACCCTTTCATCATACAACTTGATAAACTACAGATAATGAAGATAAGTGCGAACCAAATAATGGGAACTAATATTTGTAATGACGGATTTCACTGGACAAATAAGGTGAAATGAATAGCAAGCTAAAATATGGTAGGTAAAATAAGAACAAGTTACTAGAATGTTATATTATAAATTCAATCGTTACTAGATTTATTTAGAGAATTATCTTTTATATTGATTTATTTTATCATGTATTGCTAAAACAGGGGCTGAATAGTGCCCTAGCTCCAATAAACATATTAATGTATTTAAAGAAATGGATAGTACTAATCGAAATTTATGATTTTATTTATCCCGTGATAATTCGAATGAAACTTGTTTTGATTACAAAGACCATCCAATTCAAATCGTTTTAACAAAGTTTGATCAGAATGGTAATTTATTAACAAGCTAGCACATGATGCATACCAAATGTTCAGCTCAAAAGGGTGTTTCCTGGTTGAAATTGATACTCCCTCCGGTTTTTAATATATGACACCATTTACTTTTGGGCGTACATTTGATAAGCAGACAGTGTACATAATGCAGACATCAACACATGAGGTGTTGTCTTGTCTTATATATCGAACCTAGCCAACACGCCTCTATCCACGCAATCATATGGAAAATAATAGTATTATTCATTTTTGTATTAATGTCATACCGACAACCATATCTTTCCCCACTGTGGTACTGCAGCTGCACTCCCACGGGATATAATCCAAGCACGCCCTTTGGTTAGTGCATCAATACTCCTCTCCTGACCAAGAAGTCGTAAGGTCACATAGTTTTAAGCAAGACCCAAACATGGTACTCGGTCCCAAAACTTGTGTGCCCCAACTGCCATCTTCATTCTACATGGATTATATTCCATACAGAATATTCATTTTTTTTCAATGCCATAAGCTAATGAAATTTGAATTTAAAGAATTACTGTTGGTATGCCTGATGGTTGTAGATATAGCGACATATCTCACGGCGATGTTCAGATGAGAGAACAGCATCAAGTGATCCAGTGATATAGAGAGCAAATATCTGAAAGAAATTCATCGGCCCCACATATAGATCAATTTTGTAATTTAATTTCATGATAAGTATTCAATTGAAACCAAAAATTAAATTGAAGTCTATGACAGCTGCTACCATTTAATCTTCCAGGCATAAATCAAATAAATATCCTGTTGATACAAATGTCATGTCTACTTCAAGTACCATGCAATGAAGTTATGATATAAATATAATTCCTAGGTCACATGTCTGCTCAGTTCATTCTTCTTAAAAAATAATGGCCCATAGTCACTTACTATTTATCCTAGTAATATCCACTAACGCAGTGAAATTCATTTGAAGGAAATGAAGCCTAGCAATGATGAATAATGCAATAGAAATGGATATATACCAAGATAGGCATAATGAACATAATTCCACTGAAATCGCCAGGCCAATGTCCATCATGTGCTTGCAGAGAAGAATGTTGAGTAAGAGCCCGCCTCAGTGATGCCAATATAATCTGTTCTGTGACTTGAGTACTATCGACAAGTTTACTGGCTGGAACATCCACCTGAAGGCGATTTTGTTTTGCATACTGTAACAGATGATTACACAATGTGAGAATTTTACGGTGGATTCTACAGTTAGCTCGAATTAAACCATAAATTTGTTGGTGAAAAAATAATAATAAAAAAACAACAGAAGTAAAAAAGTAGCAGTATCTAAAAGTTAGAGCTAGAATTACCATGGGGGTACACAAGAGAATCTGAATAGGGAAGATGCAACTACTTCTGCGAAGATGTGTGGCTGCAATTGTGGAGACCATTTTTCTACATATCTCACTCCTATATGGAGTATTACAGTTCAATGGTTCCACATTTTTTTTGCAATTATCTGAGCCCCTTTGAGCAAGGGGCCAGATCGGAGCGGCGGCGACAGGGAAAAGGTGTTCCTAGCGCGTTGTCGATTCGGCTCCGGGAAGAGGTGAAATCAGAACATCGACGTACGAGGAGTCGAGGAACTCAAACGGCGTCGTCGGCTTGGACAGAGTACTGCCGAGGCGAGTGAGAACTTGAAGGCTCTGGGTGCCCCGTGAAAACGAGAAGGTGAGAGAGCCTAGCGAAGTGCGGCGCCGGAACGCGGCAGTGGAGCTCGGCTTGTGGGGGCGCCGGTGCTGGCCCCGCCGAGCCATCAGCGGCGTGAGAGAGGGAGGAGCACAGGGCGGTACGGCGAGCCGGCCAGGTCGGCTGGGCAACGCGTCGAGGAAGCTGGCGGCAAGAGAAGACGAGAGGAGAGAAGGATGGAGCTGGAGGAAGAGCACAGGGGATAGGCTCGGGTCGGGTGGGCTGTGTAGCCTGTGGGCCAGTGAATCCATGTGTTGGGCCGAGGCCGAGAGGGCCTGTGAAAACGAACAATTCATATTGTTTACGGAACTTGGAATAAGTTCACTTAAGGTCCTTAACTTTACAGTGAGTTCGATGTTCACACGTAAAACCACATACCCCAGATTACAAAACCAGTCCATTGGCAGAATTGTCTCCGATTTTGGCTCATGTGGCGGGAAGTCTACTGCGCGAACGTGCGCGAGACTCCGAAGACGCGAACGGGTCAGGCAGGTTAGGATCAACACACGTGGCAATGCGCGACAGGCAGGTGCGGTCGTTTTTCTGTTCCTAGTTTCCCGTTTTTTCTTTTTACGTGATTCTTTTTGAACTTCCTGTTGTCCTTTTTTTACGTTAATTCTCCCGTATATAGGTATATATGAATTCTCTGTTTTCCCATTCTTTTTTTCTTAAATTACTTTTTTTTTCTTTATAGTCATTTTTTAGATTTTTTAATGGAAACTTTTTTATATGTAGTATTTTCATGGACCTCTCTACAAGTATACTTTCTATATAAAAACTTTCTATATATAGATTTTATTTGTATAAACTTTCTATATATAGACTTTATGTATATAATCTTTATATATAGAGATTTTATGTATATACACTTTATATTATAGACTTTTTTTTATAAACTTTATATTATGAATTATATTTGCATGTATAAATTTCAGTACAAATAAAAAATCTAAGCATCACCGGATTTTTTTTAAGAAATAAAATCTAATCTGAACAATTTCATAATAGGGAAAAGCGATTGGTTGGTCGCTAACTGAAATAACAAAATACTATATACAAGCTTAAACAGAACAGTCATTAGAACGAAAAACTACAAAACCTATTAAACCGTTCACAAGATGCGAACATTCGAGGATTAGACCCTCCGCTGATGTGGTGCTTATGTGGCTCCTTTGACTAGGTCTTCGTTCCACGTGACACTTACGTGCAGTTTGATTTGAAAAATACATGGGCCACATGTCAGTTACATTAGAAAATAATTAAATGATGATGGGCCCACATATCAATAATACAACAGTGCCTTCCTCCTCTCCCCTCTCTTCTCCAAGTCTCTGCATAGAACTGACGCGGTGACGGTCGAGACATCACTGAGCTCGAATGCCGCTGGGAGGTCTAGGGACCTCCGCTCCTGCCTCGCAACCGTGGGCCTCCTCCACTTCCACTCGTCCTCTGCGGATTCACCGTCGACATCTGAATGAGGTTGTGCTCGACCATAGAGCCGCTATCTTGCTCATCTCCCGTGCTTGGAGACGGTGATGAGCGCGACGGAAGTGGTGTCGGCAGCAGTGGTTTGGATTTGGAGGAGCTCACCTGCCTCCCTGCCTGCTCCCTTTCTGTGCGCGCTCACCGGCCTCCCCGCCTCATCCTTCTCGGCTCGCTCAGACCGGCTGCTACACTCCCGACTAATGCCGCATGCCGCTCCTCTCCTGCCCTGTCGCCGAAGGAGACGACGAGCCGGGCGCTGGTGGAAGCGGGCTAAGCGGCGGCGGGCAATACAGCGTGCACATACGCCATTTCTCGCGCCTCCTCCTTAAAGCGGCAGTCGTCGATGTTGGAGCCCCCTCCTCGCCGGTCGCTGACATCAACCACTGACGACCACCACCACAGCCATGCGCGGGCAAGAGAGAGGAAGGGGACATCCGAAGCCGGCCACATCTAGCGCATATCCGCCGCTCAGGCTAGCACCTCCAATCTCTCCTCCGCCACTCTAGGGAAAGAGGAGGGGAAGAGGGGACAAGAAGAGAATAAGATAGAGAAGAGCGAGGATGCCACTCTAGGCATAGGGAAAGAGGAGGGGGAAGAGGGGACAAGAAGAGAATGAGATAGAGAAGAGCAAGGATGAGGTGGAGAAAGTGGGTCCCACTATTTTTAGTATTATTGTTTGAGTAATATTTGGGTCTACATATTTTGTTTTAATTTTTAATTGTTAAATTTTGTTTCATGTGACACGTCAAACTGACCGGAGTCAAATTAGCCACGTAAAAAAGGCGGTGCTGATAGCCTCCATCAGCAGATCCAGAAGGCGGCCGTCGTTCCCGAGGTGAAGTCAATCATTGCTGCGGAACAGGTATAAATGAATTGGAGCTAGTAGTGGGTTATACTATTAAACTTGCTCTGATGCCCCCGTCTTGTGCACCCACCACCTCTGAAGTAATGATGCTGGACCCTCATGATGGATTTAAGTGGTCGCGCACCGTCCCTTCTCCCGAGCCAGCGAGTAGCCACGCGGCTGGATCGCCGGCTTCTTTGAATTTCACTATTAGAAAAAGCATTTTTGCAGGTGGCCAAAACTAATTTTTCTAGGCTAGAGGGAGAACCGCTTGCAGCACAACAACTGCGAAAATCATCGATTTTCACAGTCGGGGCAATGGCCCGCCTGCGAAAATGCAATGAACAAAAAAAAAATCGCCGCACACTCCTCCGCGCTGCCGCCGCCCTCCCCCGACTGGATCTGGGAGGGGAGGGGAGGGGAGCCGCGCCGGTAGCCGCCGCCGCCCCGACCGTCGTCGTTGTCGCGTCCCCGCGCCATGGTCGTCGACGCCACCCCCGCCAACCTCCCCACTCCCTCCTCCAGCCAGATCTGGGAGGGAGGGGGGAAGGGAGCTACCGTCATCGCTGCCGTCGCCCCCGCCGGCCTCCCCCCTCCCTCCTCCGGCCAGATCTGCGAGGGAGGGAGGGAGGGGAGACGCCGCCTGCCGCCCCGCGCCGCCGCAGTGTTGAGGGAGAGGAGAGGAGAGGAGACTTGAGTGTTGAGAGAGAGAGAGAGAGAGTTGAGAGGAAATGAGTGGTGGGAGGGGTGGGAGGAAAAGATAAGGGTAGACTTTTTTTTTTGGTAGGTACGATTTTTGCAGGCGGACCACATAAGGTTCGCCTATGAAAATAGATTTTCTCAGGCACCGCTTAAGTGGCAGCAAACTTCACCCTGATTTATATTTTTGTAGGCGGTTATTTGGCTCTCAGGGTCATGTTCGCCTGCGAAAAAAAGACCCCACGTCGGGAAAAATGTTTTTTCTAGTAGTGTTTCCCTTGGTAAGGTTTTTGAAGCTTCAAATTTGATTGTAGAATGTTTGGGAAAATGTAGATTTAGGCCCGTTTGGATTCAAGGACTAAATTTTAGTCCCTGCCACACTCGGATGTTTAGATACTAATTAGAAGTATTAAACATAGACTAATGACAAAACCTATTCCATAACCCTGGACTAATTCGCGAGACGAATCTATTGAGCCTAATTAATCTATGATTAGCCTATGTGATGCTACAGTAAACATGTGCTAAGTATGGATTAATTATGCTTAAAAAATTTGTCTTGCGAATTAGCTCACATTTATACAATTAGTTTTGTTATTAGTCTACATTTAGTATTTCTAATTATTGTCTAATTATCCGATGTGGTGGGGAGTACTAAAATTTAATCTCTGATCCAAACACCAGCTCAGTAGCTTTTGCTTTTGGTGTGTTCCACGAATCAACTTTTTTTGTCAAAATATCATTGAATTTTGAGCAATATAGTGCCTAAACGGTGGCTGATTTATATATTTGCTTTACAGAGTATATAGACGGGCATACAAGGTAAATTGGCGTAAATTATATGGTTGTGAATTGGCAGCATTTTAATCTGGTTGTGCAATGATTATATAATTTATATTACAAGGTTTTTCATTTTTTTAGGTTTATACTATTTGGTTTTTTTGATGTTTCTGCTCTTCATCTCTAGCTTCCGCGGCATGCGTTTATTAGCAAGAGATTGTGGTACCTAATTTGGTTATGCTCATGCAGTTATGTCATCAACATTGGAGATATTTGGCTTGACTTGGTGAAATCAATACTAACTTGCTTCGTTGGATTAATGTACCAGAAGAGTGGAGGTGCGGACTGAGGAGTTTGTTTGATATCCCTTAATTATTGAATTAGCACTACGCCAGAACTTCAAAATTCCTGTTTGTTCAAGACACACCTATATGTAAACACTATTGAATCCTCATTGATTTGTTATGTTTTCCAGGTCAGCTGAGCAAGCGCATGCTGGGCATTATCACCGGCCCCTCATTATTGATCAGCGCAATTAAACATGCTGGCCATTTAGCAAAGGTTTGCAGTTGAATTTTAGTCTACTCGGCCGGATCCACACTAAACTTATTAGCTGCTACTCCCTCCGTTACAATATAAGACACAACCACCCTTAACCTAAATACCAAGAAACAATTATTATCATCTTCTAGTTTGGATCACCCTAATAAATATAATACATGCATTCAATAGAACTAGAGATCTTAAGGGTGGAGGATTTAAAAAAGTAATAATTTAATGGAGAAAAGGTCCTAGTTAATTGTATGCATGTATGCATATCTTATATTATGGAACATTAAAAAAAGTAGTTGTACCTTAGAGCAAGGCTAACAGTACAGCTCGCTGTTGGCTGCAAAATAACCACATCATCCTACTACAGCCAATTACAAAAGCTAATCATGACAATAATGGACTGTATATACATCTCTACACACTTCCCATAGCTAGCTTTGATTTTTCTAATCTTCAATTGAATGCTGTAATTGAAGCAACGGAACATTGGGAGTAGTGTACAGCCGGGCTGCAAATTAGTCGCCAACCTGCTATCTTTCTCTTCCCTTTATCCCTCCAGCTCCCTCTGGAATCTACGTGGAGTCCGTATCGCTGGCTCATGAGGATTATTGTACTTGCTCTTATATTATAGAACGGATGGAGTATTTCAGTGGTGGGAACCGGTAGAGTCATGAGCATATGTTTATTGCAAGATGCTTGTCCCATGTTTATAGTGTACTCCCTCCATTCCAAATTGATCTACATATTTCATAGGTACATCAAGACCAAAAAAAGCTATTAACTCTCTTATACTATATTTACTCTAGCAACAAACTCAATGCATGCAACATTCCCACTATTTCCTAGCCAATAACAAATCAAGATATTGCATGTGGGTTATAAATACTTATGTGCATGGATGCATGCATCAATGTCTATTTACTCCAATGCACAAATAACAAATAGACCTAATGAATGAACATAAATATGTAGATCATGTAGGAATAACCTAAAAAAAACTATATGTAGATCAATTTGGAATGGAGGGAGTATATATGTTGCGCAAGGACAATTAAGAGTGATCCCTGACGTACACTACTACAACAGAAATGATTTTTTTTGGATGAGCACCTCAATAGATTGCAGGCGAACTAAAAGTATCTGCTTCTTAAAAAATCAACCCCTATTTTTGCATAAGGCTATTTAATAGGTTTGCACGTAAAAAATCAATTTTCGCATACGGGTCTCTTAATATATCCGCATGTAAAAATGGGGGTATTTTCGCATGCGGGCCCGTTAAGTGACCCGCATGGAAAAACCACGGTTCCTAATCCAACTCCTTTTTTATTCTCCACTCCTCTCTACCCTGGCCCACTCCTCCTCTCCCCCAGTACTCCTCACTCCAGCCTCCTCCACCTTCTCCCCCAGCCTCCTCCTCTCCCATCTCCTCCCTCCCGATGGTGGGCACCAATGGAGGCAGTTGCCATGCTTGGTGTGCTCGACGGCGACGGCGGTGGCAGCGGGTGTGGGTTTGGCTACGGCGACAGTGACGGCCCCCTTGGCCCTCCCCCGTGCATATCCGGCAATGAGCTCGAGCGGTAGGCCGACAGCGGTCTTGAGCGGGAGGTAGTGGGCGTGGGGCACGATGGCGGCGAGCGGCACGGTGGCGGTAGGCATGGGCTCCGGCGGCGGCGGCAGTGTGGATCCGGCCTACACACGAGCAAATCCGCCACCGCCGACGATGGAAGGTGCAGATCCATCGGTGGCGGAGACCGGAGAGGCAAATCCATCGGTGGCGACGACGGTGCTAGCTGGCTAGGGTTAGTGTAGGGTAATCTTTTGATTTTTGGAATTTTTATTTTTTTTCTTTGTGATTTTCCATTTTCGCGTATGGACGGCTTGACTGAATTTTCGCATGTATGGTGTGCCACCCGCATGGAAAACTTGCTATTTTTGCATACCACCCGCATGGCAGACATGATCTAACCGCACTAAATAATCGATTTTGACCATTTGTAGTAGTGGCAGGTTACATAAACAATGAACAAAATGCTTATGGAATTTACATGACAATGACCAAAAGATTACCGCAATTGCATGACATGATTTTTTTGCTTGCGTTGCTGGCACGTGGTGTGTCGCCACGTGAGAAAATCCAAAAAAAAAAATCATCGACAAGCTAGTATCCTAATAACAAATGTCATCAACAAACCTAATTCTTAGAAATATCATCGTACAAACGCCTACATGGCGCTTATTTACTATTTGAAACTTTTGCTCTCTCAGTCAGGTCTACATGGGGTCTACATGTTGTGCGAGCAGGGTGGGTTCTCCATACGAACTCAGATCAACATAACATTATATGAGAATTGCAGCTTTCAATGAGATCTCCACTCTCCCTCCTAGAAAAATCAACTTCCATGCATCTAGACATAGCCTACGTGCAGAAATATAGCCAGAAGTTGTTTTTTTAGAGAGGGTGTTCAATTTGATAGGTGACTTGGGTGACAACTTTTAAAGTCAAGCATCTAAAAAGGTAGTTTTTTCAGTTTTTATTGTGGCCTTGATTTTGAATTTGAATCCCATCATCTACTGCCGCTTTTGAAATCAGCACTAATATAATGACCCAATTAGTGCTGACATATTAGTACCGACTATATAAAAGCCAGTACTAGCTAATAGACGTTATATATATATATATATATATATATATATATTGACCGACACCGATGATGTGTTCAATGATATATATATATATATATATATATATATATATATATATATATATATATATATATATATATATATATATGTGTGTGTATGTATGTATGTATGTATATATGTACCTGCATACGCATGAGCAGATCCTGGGCTTCCCTCCTCTCGAAGCGGCGCAGAGTAAACTCACGGCGCATCCTCTCTACCTCGGCGCGCTCCTCCGGCGTGCCGGCGTTTGGGTCGAATTCCCACACAGCTCTACCAAGAAAGCCGTTGCATGACCGCAGCCCGGGCGCCCCGCCCTCCGCGACCTTCAGCCTCCACATCCTCCGCTCGGATATCGATCCGTCCGTCGGTGAAACTGCGGAGGGTACAAAATAGTTATGCTCAAGCTCAACTTATTATCTTTTCCGAAGCTAAACTCGGCTAACTTTCGGCCCGGCGACGATGGCTGATCTATCAAGGGATTATATAGGCCGCCGTAGAGCCATGAAGATGGTTTCTGTTTTTCTGTGTAGATTAGGACCCAACGCTGGACGGAAAGCTACGTCCGGCCTACCTGGCTACCTGCCACCTACCACACGAATTTCCCTGCAAAGAAGGCTCCAATTTTCTTTTATCTTTTTTAATTTGTGAAAAGAAATTAAAAAAAACCGTGTGCTGCAACGGAAAAAAACTAAAGTTGCATAAACATATACAGATGATCAAGATTTTATTTTCATACAATCTGGACTCTTCTATGTAAAATATTCTTCACGTAGAGCTGCTAGCTAGATAACTTGTTTTAAAAAAATATTTTTGTTCTCACCTCCAGCATAAGCTATTTTTTTAAAAAAGAAAACTCACACACATCCTATTACAATTAATGGGTCAGTGGCATAACTTGTTAGTACCATTTGCATTTGCATATGACAGCTTCAATTGGCTTCGGTGATTCTAATCACCATGCAAACAAAATCTCGGTCTGTCATGCAAAGAGAATTGCAAACAATATGAGAACACCACTATGTCACCTCCCGTGCAAACTCGTCATGCAAATTTAATCATAGCTTGTCAGTCAAGCTATTTCACTCGGTCTTAGGCCGATGGATTTTACTCGGTGTCGATGATATTGTGCTTTCATTAGTTAGTCGATCAGTTTCTTTGAGACGAAAAAAACCAACAAAAGAAAATATAAAAAGAAACAGGTGGGGGAGTGAGAGGTAGGGGAGAAAATAACCAAGAAAAAAAAAGAAAAAAGAAAAGGAACGGATAGAGAAATCGTGAGGGGAGGGGGCGCCAAAGAAAAAAAAAGAAAATAAAGAGGGAGAGAGATCGGTGGAGGGAGGGAGGCGCAGGTGCGACCGGGGAGGGAATCCGTTTCTTTTTTTTAAAAAAATAGAGGGGGACATAAATAGATATGTCAGGTGGGACGGTGTTTCTCTTCAAGTACGCAAAGATAAGCTACTTTTTCAGTTTAAAATATAATAATTCTTTTATTTTAAAATATAATAACTTTTAGGTTGATTAACATATATTAAAGTTAAAAAATTAGTAAAAGATTTAAAGTGGTACCAGATCATAAGGACGGACAGAAGTCCTACGAAAGGAATGTGTATTAATTCCATTAATTTATGAGGACAATAAGTGTGCGTTTCTTGATGGGTATAATAATTGCTTGTGGTTGCCGATCGAATAATTGCTGCTGTTTACTTGTTTTTTTTAATAATGGAATTAAATCTCGGTCTTTGCTAAATAGCTACAACCAATTATTACACCAGTTCAACCAAACTCAAACTTAACAAAAACAAAGACATAAAAACACACTCCTTGCAAAACAGTAGCACACACGAGTACTAAAAAAATACAATCCTTTCAAAACATGAGCACACAAAAACTTAAAACGTCAACCTAAAAGAACACATGATTATTGAATTCTATTTGTGAATCTCTATCCAAAGTTGGCGAAAAGCTACATAACCGTTGATTCAAGATTACGGCATACAGTTTTTACTAGCTTGATATCATCATCACACTTTAATAGTTAAGCCTATGACCGGAGCCACTATGTTGCACTGAAAAGAACCTGCATATAAGATACAGAAGGTGACTTGTCAAAAACCATATCATTCCTATACAACCATATGTCCTAACAAATAACTACTAATACCTCTGTTTTAGGTTATAAGACTTTCTAACATTGCCCACATTCATACAGATGTCAATGAATATGGGCAATGCTAGAAAATCTTATAAACTAAAATAGTAGGACTACTTACGTGCCACTTGATCCCAGCGGAACGATCAGCCCGAGGAGATTCAGAATGTCAAAAGCTATTTTGGTACTTCAATAGTAACTAGTAATCGTGCACGTGCAATGCACGTTGTGATCAATATTTGAACTAAACCGAACATATTGCATCTAAATATTTTGTATACATATATACTAAAATGTTTAAAGGCAAACTTTTGCGCATATCATAGTGCTTATTATTGCTTTAGAAAATTAAAAGATAAGAAAGATATATAGCTTTTTTTTCTAATACTTTACACAATCATTAACCCAACCAACTAATTTTATTTCTGAGTAAATTGCATCGTCAGTACACGAACTTGTTAGGTGGGTGCAATCGAGTGCACAAACTTGTAAAATGCTCGTTTTGGTGCATAAACTTGTGTGGTGCGTGTGGGGGAAGTCAAAAATGACACTACATGACTAATCTTATTGATTTAGGGGCTGATTAGGATACTATGTAAACATATATATGAGAAGGTTGCCATTAGACATACACCTATTCAATAAAATATAGAATATGATTTAGTGATATTAGAAAAAGATTAAAAAAATCGAGCACTGATATAAGGGTTAGAAACATATGAAATTCATCATTTCAATGATGAAGGATAAATTAGAGACTAAATTTATAAATATTGCATGTCTTATGCATACTCACTATACGTATGTACGTCACATCCTAATCAACGTTAACTTCATAAAATTAATATTGCCAAGTTATTTTGGTCCTTGTTCATACGAACTAGACAAGTTTGTGTACTAAAACGAGCATTTTACAAGTTTATATACTAAATTACACCCACCTAACAAGTTTGTGTACCACCAATGCAATTTACTCTTTATTTCCAAATATAAAAATTAAAATAACAGAAGAGGAAGATGCATATCTTCGACCAGTGACCAAGAAACATATGGAAAGATGGCAAATGCCACAAAACCAAACCTGTGAACCAGTTGCCAGTTAATGCAATATATATGCGACTGTAATAAGGACAACAGTTTCTCTTGCATACCAATTTATACAATAAATCCAATAAGACTTGAATATTGAGCAATCCAATTAATCAACTTTGCTTAAATAATTTTGTAACAACAAAGAAACAAAAAAAATCCTCAAATGATGATCCTTGTTTTCAATCCTTTGTTATTACATGGTAGATACAGGAACAATACTACAATAGTACATGGACAACCAAAGTCCAAGAAGTATCCATAGTTCTCATGAGCTCTAGGTTTTCTGCCATTATTCCACCAACTTGCACTTTTGACCATGTTCAATGTCGTCTACTTCGAACAATAGAGTTGCTCCTCCCTAATATTTGAGAACAATAGAGTTGCCCCATTCGCCGCGGCCGGAGGGTCGTCCTCTTCCGCCGCTGCGTGCCGCTGCAGTCCACCGCTGCAATCGTCCACTAGAAGGGATACCATCATCTCAATCGGGCGGTAAACCCCATCTCAATCGGGTATGGCGTCCGTCACAGGCTAGAAGTCACAGATGTGAAGAGTTATCTCAATTGGGCAAACGACCGTCACGGATGAATCTATCTCAATCGGGCCACAACTAGCGCCCGTCACAGATGACGGGCATTAACTATGGCTATAGTTAATGTCCATCACAGATGAGCATATAATCCAAAAAAGCCCGTCACAGATGACGGGCATTAACTATGGCTATAGTTAATGCCCGTCACAAATGAGTATAATCCTAAAATTGCTCCAGACCAAGCACGCTTAACATCAATGTTTTTTGGAGATTGGCTTCCGGAAAAGTAGTTGTAATTTGTTGGTATGAGTATTCTATTAATCCTATTAAGCCCTAGGCCAGGATGTCAAATTGGGGTTATTAAATGAATTCAAATGGAAAAGTCACCAAAACCATAGTTGTAGAACTCATCGAGGTGTAAAATTTTTATTTTGGTCATTTCTCCATCTGACTCTATTTAAACAATTTGAAATTTGAAATTCAAATTTTGAAAAGTTCAAATAGAATTTTAGATCAGGGAACAACTTCAACTGAAAAAATCATCAACAACAAAGTTGTATAACTCATCAAGATCTATAACTTTTATTTTGGTCATTTTTCTATATAACATTTTTTGAACCGTTTGAATTTGAATTTGAAAATATGACAACTTTAAACAACATTTTCAAATATTAAATGATATCAACTGAAAAAGTCATCAACAACAAAATTGAATAACTCATCAAGATCTAAAACTTTTATTTTGGTCATTTCTTCATACGACAAAGTGATAGTAACATTGTTCACAAAACTGACATATCTCTTATCTGGTTTTATAAACTATAACACATATATGTAAAATTTGTGAATAATATTACTAACATTTCATCGGATCAAGAAATAACAAAAATAAAAGTTTTAGATCTTGATGAGTTATTCAACTTTGTTGTTGATGACCTTTTCAATTGAAATCATTTAGTATTTGAAAATGTTGTTTGAAGTTGTCATATTTTCAAATTCAAATTCAAACTGTTCAAAAAAATATTATACAGAAAAATGAACAAACTAAAAGTTGTAAATCTTGATAAGTTATACAACTTTGTTGGTGACATTTTTTCCATTTGAAATCATTTACTACCCGTAAAATTGTTTTGACTCATAAAATGAATTATTATACTGCACTTAATTATTTTGCTATAGTCAACTTACAAATATAAACATTTCATATGAAAAATGGAAAAATAGTCATCGGTGACGGGCTTTAGTTAATGCCCGATAGAGATTAAGTATATAGCCCGTCACTGATGAGTCATCTCAAACGGGCCTCAAGTTATGGCCCGTCACGGATGATGGTCATCTATGACGTGCCACGACTTGAGGCCCGTTTGAGATATGGAATGTTATCTCAATCGGGCCTAAAGTTGGTGCCCGTCACAGATGATGGTCATCTGTGACGGGCCGCAACTTTAGGCCTGTTTGAGATATGGAATGTTATCTCAATCGGGCCTAAAATTGGTGCCCGTCACAGATGGACCCGTTTGAGATATGGAATGTTATCTTAATCGGGCCTAAACTACGGCCCGTCACTGATAGGTGTCATCCGTGATGGGCTTAAGTTTTATGCCCATCTAACATGTCTGTGCGACCATATCTCAATCGGGCACTTTTCGGCCCGATTGAGATGACTTCCTTGTGACGGCCCGCTATTTCTAAGCATATTAGAGCCCGTCACAGATAGAAGGATCTGTACTAGTGGTGCCCTTCCACCGCCGCTGGCACCGCAGTCCACCGCTGTGACCGCCGGAGCCGAGGTCTTCCCCATCCGCCGCCGCTGCAGTCAAGCGCAGACCCCGACGGAGCCGAGGTCTTCCACATCCGCCGCAGTCCAGCGCTGCCCCCTGATAGAGCCGAGGTCATCCCCAGCCGCCACCGCACTCCAAAAAAGGTGATTTTTCACGTGCAAAGCACGTCAATATATATTGAATGAAGTACATTTTTTTTGATAACTGGCAAATTGAATCACCTTTTCCGTCGAGCGCGCGCGAGCAAACGCCGCCGAGATCATCGCCGCTCTCGTCGCCTTTTCCGTCACTCTCATCTCCGCATCTCTCGCCAAATCCCTGAATGAAGTACATATTATTCTTGTTAGTTCACATTAACAATGGAGAGAAACATATATTCAGCTTGAACCAAAATTTTGAGACTTATATGGAAAAAGGCATTAAGTAAAATAATATGGAAATTTCGAAAGGGTCAGTTTCGCTGTACATTATTGACTAAACAGATAGCTGAAAATTTCCTAACAGAACTTATACATTTTGAGACTTTTAGTAAACTAAAGAAAAATGTGATATTTGATGCATGAATTCAGAAAGAGAGAACCAATCTGTAAAATAGAAGCTACTGGGAATGAATATTAACACGTCTACTGTCTAGAAGTGAGTAGTTTTGAGCAGAGGAGTGAAATTTGAGCAGATGGTGATCAATTGCACTCATGTTTTGTGCTTTGATCAAATCAGTTCATGCAATTACATTCTTTTATGGGAAAATTTGAACCATGCCACACAAATTGCAAAATTTGTGATATGTCATCCTAACCCACAAGTCATTGACTCATGTGGGTCCTACATGTCATTGAGATACGGGTGGCATATCTTAAATTTTACAAAATTAGGGTGGCATGGTTCCAACAAACCTTCTTTTATTACATTTGCATCACCTTATGTTATCGTCTTCAGAAAGCACTTTTTATTAGGAGAAGGACAACCGAATAATTCTCATAAAGGGAAAACAAATGAAATTTGAAGGTAGAAGAACTAAGGATAATAACCACCTCATCAATTTCAGTATAAGAAAAACTAAATCTATGCAATATGGTCATTTGCTGGGTAAAAAGGAACGGTTAATCTGACCCAGCTACAGGACAATTATCAAGATCAAGGATGAAAAATGTAAAAAAAAAATTATAGAAATATAGTTGCCTACCGACAGGATAATGGTGGCAAGCGAGAGAATCTTGTCCAATTCTTGGTACCAGTTCATCGAGTGAGCACATGTTCCTATTGTACAATGGATCAACCTAGGACTAATCAGCTGGACTGAACAAAGGTTAGAGATGGAGTACAGCTGAATAAAATCTAGTTAAAGGGTATAAGTTAATCATCATTGATTAGTATTTAAAACAACCATTGAACTTGACTCCGATTCACTATGGAGAGGCAAACTAACTGAATAAGTTTCGGGTGAAGGTACAAAGGAAAATGGTACATACATGATTTATTTTCCAAGTTGAAGATCCACATGAGCAGCAGAACATTGTTTAGAAGGAAGACTGTAGGTACCACATCACCATAAAACCTTCTCTGCACTTATGAAATAACCAAGGATGAAAATAAGGCTAGCAGAACATTACTACAGTCTATATCAATCAAATAATACTTGACTGAGATTATTTCAAGTAGTATCTTTGGACAATGTAGAAGCTTGTGCAGGGGAAAACTCAGATGGAACGAAGTTGGTGGAGGATGACCAAGAACCTGCTTTTGTGTGGAATTGAAGCATTTCCAAGTTTATGCATGTGCAATGCACGTTTCACATGGTTTATCACACAAAATATTAAATACACTGGAATTTATCATGTTTGCCCATAATATACATCATACTAAACATACCCGTTTAAGAAATGTACCCTAACGTGATATGGTATCCTTTCGGTATCCTTTCTGTAAAAGTGAAAAGTACTCAAGTTACAAAATGTATACAACTTGCCATAACTTGACAAATGATTGAAAGGTTCAAAGCAAAAGAGTTATGTATTTCAGTGATTTTCAAGAGAGAACCATTATATAATTTCAAGAGAACACTATCGAACTAAAAGAAAATAACTCCAATATGTATATATGAAGAAAAGAACAGAATTATGTATATTCAAATGGATATGTCTGTCCATCACCAGTTCAATTTTATATAAAAAAAGGGTCCTACTGTTTCATGAATTGTTTGGCAGTCAACAAGAAAGACCTAGACATGCATGAATGAACTCATATATATATAAAGGAAAAGGAACCATATGTGATTGACCGTGGTCAGAATGGACGACCATTTCATGTGATTCCACTATTTTGTCCATGTGTAGCAAATGCATAATCCACCCAAAAAATTGTATACTATCAGCCTTTTGCAATTGTAACTTCCTGAAATTAGTGTTCTGGCATTTGCACTTAAATATCACACAAATAACGCTCAACAAACGTATTAAAAATCATGTATGTCCTGTGGCAAGAAGCTCAAGTTGACAACATAAATATATGATCTGGGTAGAAGGGAGATTATACCAGGGTGTGAAAAACCGCCGGTAACCGCGCGGTTACCGCGGTTACCGCCCGTACCGCGGGGGTACGGTTACCCGTACCGCGCGGTACGGTTTAATAAAATTCGTCCAAATTCAAAAATTTTAAAAAAAAAGAAAAAAATCAAAAAAAATAGTGAAGGTAGTGCTTGATTTATAGTGTTTTATGGTGAAGAAATTTCTCAAAAAAGAGTAATATTTATTCAAATTTGAGAGCAAAACGGAGAATAAATTTGAAAATTGGAAAAAGAAAAAAAAATGGGCCGGCCCGTTACTGTGCAACCCATTACACATCGCGCGGTAACCGCGCCAAACCGCGTGGTTACCGCGTCAAACCGCGCGGTAACCGCGCCAAACCGCGCGGTTTGCCCGAATTTTTGAATTCAAATTTCGATTTGTAAATTTGTCGCGGTTTTGCGCGGTTACCGCGGTTACCGCCGGTAACCGCCGTACCGCCGGGTGGCGGTAACCGGGCCCCCGGCGGTTTTTGAAACCCTGGATTATACACAACTTGATGAACAGCAAGAACCCAAATCGATAATGATAAAAAAAAATAGCATACCAAGTTTGTCTTTTCACCTCAGACTCAGATTTTCCACCATCTGGAACAATGGGAGCTTTAATAGATTTCACTTCTCTGAAATAGCATAGAGTTAGAAGCAGCTTTTGAGAAATTGTGAGGAACAGGGTCGTTGACCATTAGATGTGTATATCAAAGAAAACCAGAAAAAGGCAGCAAATGCAATTGCAAAGATTCAACTAAGTCTAGGAACTTCATGTGTACTTCATCTGCCGTTAACTTTTCCTCTTTGAAGTGACTGCGTGTGCATTAACAAACTTACTAATCAAAAGGTTGCATACCTGACTTATTCCAGTGTTAGAGACCCACTCAACAATGCAATTTTAGGAGTAGGAGTACCAAATCCAACACAAGGAACAACCGAGTCTGTTACAATAGTGGAGGGGTTTTGAGGTGGAAAATGGAAGGATACAAAGGCTAGTAGGTTCTACTAGCTTCTAGACAAGTAGAAGAAGAGGGAGAGTAAAGATCGACAAGGAACCAAGCCCGGTTCCAGGTCGCCGCCGCCGCCGTCGCCGCCGAGAAGCCCCTCAACCGGTTCTGTTGTTCTCTGTTCGATCTCCTCTCTGGTGCTGCTCCTGCTGTTTATATGTGCTCCTGATTTGCTTGCTTGGGCCTTGCTTTGAAAGTGGTTGACAGCCCACAGGCAGCCCATTTGGGTTCCTAACAATCTCCTCTCCTTAAATTTCGGCTTGTCCCCAAGCCGATGCAAAGTTTCACCAGAGCCACCGGGGTCCCACTGTTTATGTAGATTCTTGATAGGAACTGAACACCACATGATAACATTAAGGAAATTGTCAGAAATGTGCTCCTCTGCAGAATAAAGGTCAAGAATATGTGTCCCAGATTGAAGTGATCTTGATAGCTGACAAACAATTGTGAACTTAGCATCAACACGATCATTCTTCCAATCATTTCAGATATCCATGTCTTGAGCTTGTTCCTGATCAGTAAGTGCACAATTATTGTTTTGTGATACTGATTCAGTTTACTGCAACAGACCATGGCAAAACTTGAAGTCTTGTACTTGTCAGCAAGAGCAATACATGAGGATGGTAATGATCCTGAAGTCCACTTTTCTGTATTAATTACAGACCAATGTAGGTCCAGCATGCTGGTAAAAATCATCACTGAATGCTCCAGTAAGCTCATTGTTTCTTGTATGATTTTTCTTGTATCACTATTCCACTCCATGCTTGTGTCAAAACTGAAAGCAGCATGTCGATCACACAAAATTGTAATGCAGGCATTTGTTGATTGTGAAATTGGGAACTTAAGGACATCTCTGTGTAAACATATACCTATTTTCGAAAAGCACACCTCAAGATCAATAGTATTACCAGAGTATTTTTCACTTAAGCTGCCAATGAGCACCCTCAATAAAAACTCCAGTACTTGTACTTCAAATTTAGGAGGATTGATGTTCCTTGCCAGTAACCAGAAGAGCACACTGACTTGCAACTCAAAGAGCTCCCTGCCAACAACGAATTTCTTGGCTTCTTTTGGAGACAAGCATTTCAATAGTAGTCAAGTGCACATCTAATAGTTCTGAGAATGAGTTGAATATTGTTTCTGTTGTCGCAGAGCCTGATTTCTTTGGATTACATCCTTCAGGGATTGTAACATCAATAAATATCATAGTGGATTTCCCTTGGATGTCATCCAGCTCACTACTGATGCTTGGTACATGTCTCATTGATTTGATCATCACACTCCAAAAAATCTTATGCACTGCAACAACAAGATTCCAATCAATGTGTACTCCATCTATTGTAAACACAAGGCCAAATTTTGATGGATACGTTAGAGGCATTGGCTGAGTTGGGGGTGGCCATGGTGGCATCCAGTGTTCCACCGTCCCACAGAAATTGAATCCCGGCCATGGCGAAGGCCTTAAGTCTCTACCTCTAATCACTCCATCTGACCAAGGAGGTGGCCATGAGTTAACATCAAGAGCGTTTGTAGCCAACATGTCATGCCCAAGGAACTGCACCGAATACTTAATGGGTATTGGTGTGTTCCACTTGATGTTAGCCATCATACTTGATGAGAAAAAGTCCATGAACTGAACGGAGGTCGGAACATCCTTGAATGCATCTGTCCAGGTCTGGAACACAACCATAGCTTGACCGGTGTCACCAATGGCATCGAGGACAACCGTCAAACACTTGGTGTGCATCACCTTGGAATGGTCAGAGGTGTCGCTGTACGTGGCATCAATAGCTTCCTGAGCAGCTACCAACTCCATAGAGACAGTGGCTGTGCTAGCGTAGGTCACCTCCGCAACCATGGTGAGATTGGACTCGGTGTCGGGGATGGAGCATTTCATCGAACACATGGTGGGCGTGACCTCAAGAGAGTCCTTGGCGATGATGTAAGGGTCATGAATCTTGTCCTCACCACCCCCAAGCTCCAGGATGATCGTTGGAGTAGACCCCTCGTCGTCGTAGATGGATCTCGCTGTTCTGCTCGGGCTGCTGCCATTAGGGCACTCTGTCGAACAGGTGGTGAGCGTCACCTTGGACTGCTCATCCCCAACCAAAAACTGTAGGTCTTCAGCATTCTTCTGGATTTCAGGCATCCACAATTCTACCGCCGCCTTGAGAGACTGGTATTCAGCTCTCCTCTGATCTGCCTCCACCTGCCTCCGTTCAAACTCCTCCATCCGCCTCAAAATCAAATCCAACTTATCCTCACCTTCCATGGATGCTTGCTTAGTGAATTTGGTGGGGCTTGGTGGCTCTGATACCAGATTTGTTAGAAAACCCACTCAACAATGCAATTTCAGGAGTATGAGTACCAAATCCAACACAAGGAACAACCAAGTCTGTTACAATAGTGGAGGGGTTTTGAGGTGGAAAATGGAAGGATACAAAAGCGTGATACCAAGCCCGGTTCCAGGTCGCCGCCGCCGCCGTCGCCGCCGAGAAGCCCCTCAACCGGTTCTGTTGTTCTCTGTTCGATCTCCTCTCTGATGCTGCTCCTGCTGTTTATATGTGCTCCTGATTTGCTTGCTTGGGCCTTGCTTTGAAAGTGGTTGACAGCCCACAGGCAGCCCATTTGGGTTCCTAACATCCAGGCTGCCGCCTAGGGCCATCGAGTTGTCGGATCCGTCGCCGCCGGTGGGCCAGATCCGGCATCACGCTCTTCATCCCCTACAGTCACTCGAGCTTGGAGGAGCCAATCCGGTTGGAGGCGACGCAGATCGAGTCCTGGGGTAGCGGACGACGACCGATTGGTGATGACAGCCGACACCGAGTGATGACGACGGTTCTTGAGGCGGAGTAAGGAGGTGTTGCTGCAAACCCACACGTCGCCATCACCGGTGGTCGTGGCCGCGCGTCACTGGAGCAGCGGCAGCAGAATGTGCGTGCGGGCGCGGAAGGGGACGACCTCGGCTCCGACGGCGAAGGATGGGGAAGACCACGGGTCCGGTGGTGGCTGGGGAGGACCTGGGCTCTGGTGGGGGCAGTAGTGGAGTGCAGCGGCGGTGGCGGAAGGGACGACCTCGGCTCCAGCCGCGGTGAATGGGGAATACCACGGCTCCGAAGGTGGCTGGAGAAGAAATCGGCTCCGGCGGAGGCAGTGGTGGAGTGAGGCGGCGGCACCAGTACACGTGAGGAGGAGGAGGGAGAAGGAGCGAGTCGCGCCGGCGGGGGCAGCGGTGGATTGAGGCGGAGCGGCGCGTGGTGGCGGCAGACCGGCAGTAGCACACGCGAGGAGGAGTGTGAGTCCCGCGTGGTGGTGGTGGCAGCAAACGCGAGGAGGAGGAGCGCTCATTGTCCGTGGTCAGCGGCTCATCGCGCGAGGAGGAGCGCTCATCGGATTAGGATAGGAGAGATGCGGATGGACGGTCCGGATCAGGAGAGACGCGGATGGACGATACGGATTGATCAAGGTGATTTGGCCTGTAGGATTGGAGGGGGGCAACTCCTCCTTTTTATTTTAGTATAGATAATGAAACAAATGCATCGACTCGTATCACACTCTCAGCCATCCAGAATTACTACTCCCTCCATTCTATGTGTCCAAGTTTCTATCTTTACTAACCTTATTTTGAAAATTCTTCCAACCGGGCGACCGGCGGGGGAGCAAAAATCGGGCGCTCCCCCCGTCCACCGCGCATGTGCATGGCAGGGGTGCATGCGCGTGCGCTTCCCCCTGGCCCACCACATGTCCACACACACAACTCTATTGCAACAAATCACTCATATATTTTGGAAACCCTGTATTAAGGGAATTCGTTTCATTTTTTGTTACACCAAAAATGTTTCACTTAGTGTACTCACAATGTTTCACTATGTATAGATCTAATGTTGCAGTGAACTGAAACATTGTTTTTATATAAGGTGCAACAACGCCCGATTTAAACGATTGAAACATTTTTGATCTACCTACTAAAACAATTCCAATATACTTGGTGGAACATCGTGCAACATTTTAAAATAATAATTCAATAATAAGCTAAAAAAAATTCATCAAAATATATCCATGTGTGGTCTTGTTTTGAATATTTAATTGCAGCGAATTTAATGGTGCAATTAGATCATGATTTGGATAAATAATTTAAGAGAAAAAATAGTTTAAAGTGGTTTTCCACGCATGCGTGGCGCTGACGTCAGTGCCCGATTTTTGGACGCTTGGATCGGGCACCCGATCGGTAGTCCTCTCCACCTTATTTCGTACGCACTTAAACAGTGTACTTTTTTATAAAAATTGTCTATAGGAAAGTTGTTTTAAAAGTCATGTTAATCTATTTTTCACGTTTATTTTAGCTAATAGTATTTTGAAAGGACCTTGATGTCGCCTAAGAGGGGGTGAATAGGCGTTCCTAAAAATTATCACAACTTCATAGCATATTGGAATGATGAGAACTTTCGATTCAAATCGGAACTTCTGGTATGGGATTCGAAGTTCCGGTCTCAACCGAAAAGTTCGGCGGATAACAAAATAAGAAACTAGCTATGAACTTGTACCTCAAACAAACAAAATGTATATGAATCAAAAGGAGACAAATAAGGTATCTAAGCAAGATATAAGGTCACCAACTAAATTAATTAAGCATGTAAGTAGATCGGGTAAAAACAAGCTTAAGCACAACATGAGAGAATGCCAGAATTGGCAAACCAAGAGAGGAGACGCATGATTTGTTTCCCGAAGTTCGGATCCATGGATCCTACGTCTCCGTTGAGGAGCCACAAGGGCTGGGCCTATTTCTACCCTTTCCTCACTGTTGACGGTCGTTATCTATCAGTTTCGACCGTCAATATTACTAAAATAGGAGAGAACTAGTGATGCTTACAATGCATAAATATGATAGAATAATAAATTTCACTTGTATTAGGTCTACTAACCTTTTGCAGAGAATGACCATAAAGTGGAGGAGAATCGACGTCAACTCATATGATAAATCAATCGAACGATGTCGAGAACCAGACTTGTGTGTGAATAGGCCAAGAACTCGGAATTAACACGATGAATTAGGCCAAAATTCACAAGTCTGCGGAGTGGAGCAATAGAGGAGGCCACCAACCGAGATTGGGTTGGATTGGGCCAGCCCTAGGATCGGCTGAACCTGGTAGTCGGCCGAACCAATCCTGGCACCGTTGGATCCAGGTTTTGGGGTGGACGTCCAGGATTGCATCCCAATGACGGTGGCAGGCCAATTCGGACAATTCCCCTTCCACAACCGTCATACCTACCTCTATATAAGGAGCTCACTCTCTTCACTTCAATACACACCTCAAGCAATAGCTCTCTCATTCTTCTCAAGTTTAGTTTAGTAGTATCTAGCCGGTGGAATAGAATTAGAATAGGAATCAGTAGTCCGGACGTCTTCGGAAGAGTTCGGGTATGGCTCTAGCAGCTTTCTTTTCCTCTTTTGTAAGCTTTGTACTTTTATTAGAATACTCTTCTATATACATTTATGGTATTGAAATACTTTCCGAGTATATGAGTACCAACTTTACATTATGTTCATGTTATACTGAATATACTGCTAGCTTATCTGGGAGATGCTTTGGTGCGGGTATAGTGTTTGCATATGCAATTACTCTGTCATGACGATGATATTAGAGTAGTATCTGGTAGTTTAGATGTGGTGTCTAGATTACGGGATACCATTATTTGGGGTTATATATTACGAATGAGAGGTGGGCCGCTGATGGTGACAGCTCAATACGGGTATTCCTCCGCGCCTATATATAATTCTAAGTTAATTTCCTGGGGATGGTATTCCTCCGTATTTAGCTCCAGTTGGATGGTCATGATGGGCTGTCGCAAGGAACTCGACAGTCAGGGGTGGCTTCTCGAAGTACCAGGAGGGCATCGGATAGAGGGTATTAGCTAGTATATCAGTTTACTAGAATGTATGTATACTATGTATATTAGAAGTGTAGGAATAGATTTCCTTTCTTTTTTCCTTCCACCTAGCTTAGATTATTTATTATGAGGATGAGTAGTTAAATGCTTGTGTGTCACTCTACCCTTGGATTATCTTAACCCCTGCTTAGAATATGTTTATCACAAGTAATATATAAATTATTAGTTGAGTTTTCTCTACGTGATCTTCCCACGGGATAAAATAAATACGATACCCTTGGAATACACTCGGGTGAAATGCTACAATGGTATATCCATGCGCTTGCAGATGAACTCTGTAACCGTAATATATCAGAAGTATTTCTGCGCCATTGCTGGGAATTATATTTCTAGTAATGTCGTTAAGAAATACCAATAAGCATTTCTGGTGCCGTTGTCGGGGAAGATTCATGATAGAGATTACTTGAACTAATACTTTATATTTACCTCTATATAATCATTTTCCTTTGCAGGCTAACCTTGGCTGTTTTCACCTTTTGTTGTGAAAACAAGGTAGTGCATGACTGGTTTCAACCTGCCGGAAAACTTCAAAGAAAATCCAGAAGCTTTCTTCCGAAGGGTCAGGCCGCGAGTCGTTGCTCCGCAGAAAACTCTACCAACAGAGAAACCAGTCGTACTAGCGCCACCGACCTTCAAGATAATGGCTAGCAGGACTCTTCGTGAGTTCGCTGCTCCCTCTACTGACAATGTGGCCGTCGGGCCGCAAGTCAACATAGGAGAGGTGGATTTCGACTTTAAGTCTAGCCTCATCACGATGGCGCAGGCTAGCCCGTTCTGTGGCAAGCCTAATGAGGATGCCAATGCTCATCTGCAGCAATTCCTGGAGACATGCAGCATGTACACCATCAAGGGTGTCAGTCCCGACGCCGTCAGGCTGCGGCTATTTCTGTTCTCTCTTCTCGGGAGAGCGAAACAGTGGTTCTATGCCAACCGTGCTGCTATCAACACCTGGGATAAATGCTCTATGGCATTCCTCTCGAAGTTCTTCCCAATGGGCAAAACCAACGCCCTTCGTGGACGAATTTTCAGTTTCCAGCAGACAAGGGACGAGTCCATTCCTGAAGCATGGGAACGACTGCAGGAGTACGTGGCCGCCTGTCCTCATCATGGGATGGACGACTGGCTGATCCTGCAGAACTTTTACAATGGGCTCACCCCAATGTCCCGCGATCACCTGGACGCGGCAGCTGGAGGAGCGTTCTTCTCTAAAATGGTTCAAGGAGCCGTTGATCTCATAGAGAAGATGGTCTCCAATATGGGTTGGAGCGAGGAACGACTCTAGACCCGTCAGCGAGGCATGCACACCGTCAAGGACACGGAACTACTTGCTGCCAAGCTGGACCTCCTCATGAAACGCTTGGACGACCACGAGAAAAGGCCACAAGGCACCGTCAAGGCCTTGGACACACACGTCACGTGTGAGGTCTGCGGCAGCACGGGTCATTCTGGGAATGATTGCCCAGAGACCCATGAGGAGGCGATGTACATTGGCAACAAAAACAACGGGTATAGTCCACAAGGAGGTCAGGGGTGGAACCAACCACGCCCACATTATCAAGGAGGTAATAATAACGGTAACTTCTCTAACCAACCCTCCTTGAAGGATCTTGTTTTTACGCAAGCTAAAACCACTGATGCGCTAAGCAAAAAGCTTGCTGCCAATGATAAGATCCTAGAGAACATAAACGTCAAGCTAGATAGCTTCGCTTCTGCATTTCAGAGCTAGCTGAGCTTTAATAAGATGATAGAAACCCAGTTAGCTCAGTTGGCATCCCTAGTCCCTGCAAATGAAATTGGGAGGATTCCGGGGCAACTCGACTCCTCCATTGAGAATGTTAAGGCGATCACAACGAGGGGAGGTAAGTCCACTTGTGATCTGCCATATCCTAACCCTGCAGGAACTAGTGGGATGTCAAAAGAAACGCCATCTAATAACTCAGCTGACAAGGAGATTCAGCCAGAGAAGAACGTGCCGCAGGAGTACGGAGACACGCGGTGGCTGCCATTCCCTCAACGGAGTAGGAAACCGTCAGTGGACGAGCAGTTCGCTCGTTTTGTTGAAGTGATCCAAAAGATCTACATCAATGTGCCATTGTTGGACGCTATGCAAGTGCCAACATACGCCCGTTATCTCAAGGACATACTCAACAACAAGAGACCGCTCCCAACAACGGAGGTGGTTAAGCTGACGGAACACTGCAGCAACGTCATACTCCACAAGCTTCCAGAGAAGAAGAAAGATCCGGGGTGTCCCACGATCACCTGCTCGATCGGGGCACAATAATTCAACCAGGCCTTGTGCGACCTTGGAGCCAGCATCAGCGTCATGCCCAAAGACGTCTTTGACAAGCTCAACTTCACGGTGTTGGCACCAACACCGATGCGCCTCCAACTGGCTGACTCATCAGTCCGTTACCCGACAGGGATAGCGGGA